TCTCTCTCTCTCTCTCTCTCTCTCTCTCTCTCTCTCTCTCTCTCTCTCTCTCTCCATATATATTTAATTATTTAAAAATATATACATTTTTTATAAGAAATCACGCTGTCTTAATTGTATTAATCTCTGCTTACAACAAGAAATTAATTAAGAGAGAAATTATTTTTAATAAAAAGTTCGAATAAGCGATACATGCAAAAATCCAGCTCCATCGACATGGATTTTAAAGAAATGTTCACATCTATACATATCGTAATAGTCTCTAATAGCATGTGAAATATTAATCATTAATCTCTGCCACTTTGCAGCAAAGTGCAATGATAAATGGAAGCTACTCATTGCCGTGAGATAGTATGCGTAAGAATACTATTCTATGTTCGCAGATATATTCCTGCCCCACTATGCACGTATAAACTGTATATACACACGTATAAGCTGATAGCACTACATACAGCCTCATGGAAGAGAGCGTTCAAGAAGATAGTCGGTGAACTATAGGATTCAGTTGATCGTAGGAAGTGCAGTGATCAACTCAACGGACACGTGCGCGTTTTCATAAAGAAATGCAAACACACGCGCCTGTCGTGATTATAATTAATATATGTGTCAATTAAATATAGCAAGAGTTTAGTCTTGCAGACTGTTCTATCATGCTTGAAAATATGACGAGAAAGTCGGTAGACTGTTGGGTGTGTCTTGAACGACCGGAAGAGAGAAAGAACATCAGTGAACTGACGGATTTTTCGTGAAGATGCCGTAATCCGCATCGAGTGTCAGAGACAGTTACAGTGTACATAACGCCACGACAAACATGTTCTATCCACAGCGAGCAATGCGTCAGATCTCGGAAATCTCCTACGTGGGGTACGTATGCATCCGTTTCTCTTTCTTTATTTTTACTTCTTCTTTATACGACCGGCAAAAGGTTTTCGATAGCGCGCTCGCGCAAATACTTTCTGCAATGTTCTTCTGACACCGGATAATGAGCTGTTGATCGTCATATCGGATTCATTGTATTTTTTCGCAGACAATAATCGAATTTATTGTCAAAACGAGTAGATAAACGCATAGGTACATCAAATTGCTTCATCGTGCCTCTCCATTACAACTAGATAAATATTCGATAAATCGCTCGGCTTTCCACGTGCTGCGTCGCGTTTGCTCGTACTTGACCAGACTATTAGCGCATAACTGAGAACTGCTTCTACAAAAAGTAAAAATAACTCAGACTTTCAAAGCAAAGTAAATTATATTGTTGGTACAATATAACACGAATATAATTAATTGTGCTTGTGCAATATTACGCAATGTATTACAATTGCATAATCTTTTATGAATTTATATAATTTTATTTAAATAAACTTTCTCTCTCTCAAATTTTATTAATTGATCGTTATACACTTTTATTATTACGATAATCCGATGATTTTCATAATGTATAATTTTTTAGTTTCCTTATTAAAATCATATAGAAGATAATTAATAAAACAATATATATCTCCAAGATTGCTATGTAAATATTACGAAAATGATTTTCGACAGTAATAGCGTCACCATTGTGACGCTATTATCGTAATTATTTGCGCCACACAAACCTTTTATTATTGCAGTTCATTTTTTGCAAAGTAATGATGACCAGTCATATATATTTAAAATCCCTACATAAAATTAAGCAATAGTATTCTCAAAGTAACATACCTCATATTTTCGGTCCTCGACTATTAACATAATTAAATATTATTATGATCTGATACTAATAAACAAAATTAATAAATATAATTTAAATAGAAATAAAAAAGTGCACTTTTAATTTTGTATGTTATTATTTATCACCCAAGTTGATATTCAAAACATATTTTTTAAATTATTATAATATTCAATAATTGCCGTTAATTATCAATTAAATAATTAATCAACTATTTGTTAACTATTAATTAAATATAAATCATTACTAAATTATAAATAGTATTACGTTATACAAAAGTCGGAAAAGGAGAGAAAGAGCGAATGAGTCAGAGCGGAAAGAATTATTGGTTATTAATGTAACTGCGGTTGCGGGACAAATAAACGGACGTCGCTCGGGAATGCCGAGATTGGTCTTTCCACGAAAAGACCGTCTTTTTGATCGTTGCGCGTGTGATGACGCGAAAGTTTGGTATGCCGATCGTACATTCGCATCGTAAATAGCCGCATACTTACACGCCGCACGTCTTCGAGGTGCTCCTGTAATTCCAGCGGTGTTCGCTCCTCGGAAACGTGCTCGATCCAATAATTAAACCTAACGCCGTAATCGTTGGTGACGTTGTAATGCTGCTTGTGCTCGTCGTCGATCGTGAAATCGGGATTAATCGTCAGCAATTTGCGCGTTTTGTCATATGTCAACGTGCAGAGCAGCGTCTCTGAGTCCATCGATCCGATGGTTGCGGGTTCATCTCTACGCGACAGATCGGCCATCACATACATGGTGGTATGTTCGGTATAGAGATAATGATTGGACTGGATCGTAGTATCTGTGGTCTTGTCATCTATCACATTCTTGTTATAACGTTCTTGAAAGGACTTGCGATTCCGCAAAGCCGGTAACGCGGTCTGATTCTTCACGGACAAATACGATCTGTAAGCGAGAATGAAAATATTTAAAATTTTCGAAAGTTACGAGACACATGAAGGAACCAAAACCCACGCGTTCTCCAATGTTTTTCAATACCTCGAATTCGATGTATACAACAAACCTAAAATATGTGAATCTTAGCCTTTCCTAAACTAAACGAAAAAGGCGTTCCTATGTTATACAGCAACCCTTTTGTTTTAGTAAACTGAAAGCGCGAGTCGATCATAATTTATCCTTTACGCCTATTTTGTTTTTATTTAAAAAATACATTCGTTTAAAAAAAGATGTTAATGTACGTTCTTTTAAAATAAGTGTTGCGATAAAAATTTTGTCGAATAACAAACTCTTGTACTTCGCAATCGAATAACAAATATTTGTACAATATCTAATAATTAAATTCGATCCCTGCCTGTAAGGCATCGTCAGGAGGTCGTCATCGGGATAGTAGGAGTCATTTCCCGTGTACGAATACAAACATGCACCCTGCAGCTGCTCGTCACGTATACGCTGGTGGTACTCTCGCTGACATTCGGTTAGGCAATTTTTTTCCTCCGCATAGAAGTCGATCTCGAATAAGCTGAACACTTTGTCCTGCCAGCTAAAAATACAGTTCTCCTCTTCCAAAAAGTTGGAGTCTCTTGTCTCACCATCCTCGGACTTCTCGGCCAGCAATTCAGCCAACGGGGACCTCTCCTGTACGACTCGCACCCTAAAACAAGAAATAAACGCCGACTAAATGAAACCTGATATCATTTGGGAAAGGTAGTTTGCGATCAAATGTCCAGTTCATTCTCTGATTCTGCGGGAACGTAGATAAGGCCAAGACATTCAATCATTGTTTCAACTTTGCCACATTCTTGGCACTCATTTCCTACATCAGTGATTATGAATTAATTATGAGAGAATCAAGTTTGTAAATAGCTTTACGTAATTCTTACGTGAGGAAATTGTACTTCTAAAATTTTCTCAGCGGTATAAAGAAGATAACACGTGGCAGAAAGACATTTCAAATATTTCGTTTGTTAAATCGTTAAAGAATATTTTTCAGCTTTTAATTTCTCATGTGCTTTTGACTGGATGTTTTACGCTCCAGTAAATAGAATGTATAACACTCGATAATAATAGGTTTCTACAAGTCTAAAATTTACCATTGTTGACGATATCGTAAAAACTTGAACTTCTTTAACGTTCCTTTCGAAAATCAATTCGCGAAAAACATAGGAATCACATTATCTCGAAACAAAAGATATAATCACCGACGCAAATATCAGTGATGATACATGAAAAAAAAAGTAACCGACGTACATGCGGGCTAGTTACGTAACGTCTCGATGTTGAAGGTTTGTATTATCGCATTGAGCAAGTATGCTGTCTCCTTCATGTTTAACCGTCGAGTTTGGTTAATCTTTACGAGTTGGGAAATGCGGAATTTTCTGCAATGTAAAGTTTAATTCAATGTTCGTCACATGAAGGTAATTATAGGTTTTTTTTTATGTCCATCTATACAAAGACAATTATATTAATTAGCTTTTTTATAAGTAACATTTCATAATCTTTTCATATATCATAATCTATTAAATAGCGTATATGACAAATGAGGCACAATAAGCTAGAACTTGTTCTTTTAATCGATTACATAAATCTATTCTCGGATGCAAACCTAATGGATTCATATGGTAAACAGGACTCAATTTATCACATCCTTCTATAACCTTCAGAAATCTCCTGCTGATTTACTCATCACCAGACGTTATATGCTATTGCAGAAAATTCTGCAAGTACAATTGCACAGTTTCATTATTTTTTTTTTTTACATTACGTCCAATTTCAAATTCTATCTACAAATTTTTTAATTAAAGTTACTCTAATTTGATTTCTAATTGAAATTACGTCGTACATGTACGAAAAAGGCAGGAAATAAAATATAACGCAAAATTAACGCAGGAAAACTTCTTTCGTGAATAATCGAATTATTATCTTAGTATTATAATTTAATATTTCCGTTACTGTACGTCACACGTTTAAATGCAGGAAAGACACACCTTATCTTTAAATTATGTATCGGCTCATTCACTCTATAACTCGCCGCTATCCTCATTCTCTCTTTCTTGCCCACCATCCTTTCTCGCCGCGCTATTTTATACGATAGACTCGATTTGATTATTGTTACAAAACGGAAACTAGGAACGCTGAGCAAGCTAAAAGCTAACTGTGGCTGTCAATGATCTCGGGTCGCTCGGGTGGTTTGTTTGTTGATTCGTAACGTCGCTAGGTAACTTTGCTTCAGCTGGCGAGGTGTGGTCTGTTACGTAGACGTAGAGCATCATCATCACGAAATTCGAGGTGCGTGGTGCGTAGTGATGTATAGTCTACCTGCCGTGGGAAGGATGAAAATATACTCGTTAATACGTACTTGGAAAAATTATCATTGTTGAGATGAAAAATTATCTCCGTTTAGATTCGCATTTACATGAACAATACGTAATCGTGACATGCACATTCTTCATATTGCACGTGTGTAAACTCTCTCGCTCTCTCTCTCTCTCTCTCTCTCTCTCTCCCTCCCTTTATTTCTTTTAATAGCTTCATTAGCAATGATTAGCAAATTTCCAATGAGTCAGAACGGTACGCCACGCCAATGAATACATCGGTAAACGATCGATGTCGCAACTTTTCGCGATTAGATGTAGGTATTTCCTGATGGAAGGTATTTCCTTCGTACAATAAACGATGTAAATGTATGAACAACTACGACGTGCGTTGCATCGTGAAAATCTTGAATCAGGATATTATACACCCGGCAAACGAGAATGGATTAAAATTGAAATTTTTTTCCACCCGAATGCGCATTTTAAATAGCGAATACTTTTTTTTTTTGGATTTAATCGGATTCAATTAGATTCAATTGGATTGAAAAACTGCATTTCCTATTCAAAATTTTGAATCGAACAGTATTCACAATGCACAGAAAAAGCTAATATTATTTTTAGATTGAAAGGCATAGAGCTATATGCTTCATGCAATTTCTATAAATGAATAAAAAAATGCAGGATTGAGAAGCATTTATTTTAACATTCGTGAATCGACATTTCTGAAAATCTGAATCCGATTTCGATTTATTTCAATCCATTCTCGTTTGCTGGGCATCCTGTATCTACAGAAAAAGAGCATTTCGAATAAAGCAGAAAATCTCTCTCCCCGAAATGAAAATAAAAATCAGAGCGTAAAGCCAAACGTATATATAGGAGAGTAACAGCTAAGCGTAAACGAAACTTCTAGGAGGCGAAGATTGAAACGTCAAAGTGTAAAAGAAGTGTAAATGCTCCTTTTACATTTCATTGTTCCAAATTTCGCTTTCTAAAAGTTTCGTTTACCCTTCTAGGCTGTTACTCTCCGATTACATCTGATTTATGTTCCGATTTTTATTTTCATCGGGGCTCTCTCTTTCGAATCTGAAGCATTTGTGTTTACGCGTCCCGTATAGTAATCTATGTAATCTATTATAAAAAAAACGAACGCAGAGCAATCGGGTTAAAAGAAGAATCTACCCGACTATTGTCCATACATCCTGTAAGATTGAGATGAAAAATACCTAAGAGCTCAGTGAGTTCGGTTGAGATGGAGAGAAAAAGTCATCGGTCGTTGTCTATTATCGGAGTCTGTTCCTCCAAAACGGAGGACCCGCTTCAAAAAAAAAAAAAAACGAAAAAAAAAACGTAGGTAGGTCTATTAACCTTGCGGTACACTTTCCAGCGATCGATTCGATTTTCGTATCTTCTCCGAATGTCTCTGACCAAGTCGTCACGACTTGGCATTTGGCAAGAATGAAGCCGTTCGAAACGGTACCGTTAACTCTCTCGCTCGCTCTTGTATCGGTTGTACCGACACCTGCCCTGCCTGCTTGCCTGCCTTGAGAGATCGAGCGAGGAAAATTCGATTCCGGGGAGGAGGGGGGGG